GATGGGGAGCAATGGGATGGGGGAGCAATGGGATGGGGAGCAATGGGATGGGGGGAGCAATGGGATGGGGGAGCAATGGGATGGGGGAGCAATGGGATGGGGGAGCAATGGATGGGGGAGCATGGGATGGGGGAGCAATGGGATGGGGGAGCAATGGGATGGGGGAGCAATGGGATGGGGGAGCAATGGGGATGGGGGAGCAATGGGATGGGGGAGCAATGGGATGGGGAGCAATGGGATGGGGGAGCAATGGGAATGGGGGAGCAATGGGAGTGGGGGAGCAATGGGATGGGGGAGCAATGGGATGGGGGAGCAATGGGATGGGGGAGCAATGGGATGGGGGAGCAATGGGATGGGGGAGCAATGGGATGGGGGAGCAATGGGAATGGGGGAGCAATGGGAAGGAGCAATGGGGGGAGCAATGGGATGGGGGAGCAATGGGATGGGGGAGCAATGGGATGGGGGAGCAATGGGATGGGGGAGCAATGGGATGGGGGAGCAATGGGATGGGGGAGCAATGGGATGGGGGAGCAATGGATGGGGGAGCAATGGGATGGGGGAGCAGATGGGGATGGGGGAGCAATGGGATGGGGGAGCAATGGGATGGGGGAGCAATGGGATGGGGGAGCAATGGGATGGGGGAGCAATGGGATGGGGGAGCAATGGGATGGGGGAGCAATGGGATGGGGGAGCAATGTGATGGGGGAGCAATGGGATGGGGAGCATGGGATGGGGGAGCAATGGATGGGGAGCAATGGGATGGGGGAGCAATGGATGGGGAGCAATGGGATGGGTGGAGCAATGGGATGGGGGGAGCAATGGGATGGGGGAGCAATGGGATGGGGGAGCAATGGGATGGGGGAGCAATGGGATGGGGAGCAATGGGATGGGGAGGTGAGCAATGGATGGGGGAGCAATGGATGGGGGAGCAATGGGATGGGGGAGCAATGGGATGGGGAGCAATGGGATGGGGGAGCAATGGGATGGGGGAGCAATGGATGGGGAGCAATGGGATGGGGGAGCAATGGGATGGGGGAGCAATGGATGGGGGAGCAATGGATGGGGGAGCATGGGATGGGGGAGCAATGGGATGGGGGAGCAATGGGATGGGGGAGCATGGATGGGGGAAGGCAATGGGATGGGGGAGCAATGGGATGGGGGAGCAATGGGATGGGGGAGCAATGGGATGGGGGAGCAATGGGATGGGGGAAGCAATGGGATGGGGGAGCAATGGGATGGGGGAGCAATGGGATGGGGGGAGCAATGGGATGGGGGAGCAATGGGATGGGGGAGCAATGGGATGGGGGAGCAATGGGATGGGGGAGCAATGGGATGGGGGGAGCAATGGGATGGGGGAGCAATGGGATGGGGGAGCAATGGGATGGGGGAGCAATGGGATGGGGGGAGCAATGGGATGGGGGAGCAATGGGATGGGGGAGCAATGGGATGGGGGAGCAATGGGATGGGGAGCAATGGGGATGGGGGAGCAATGGGATGGGGAGCAATGGGATGGGGGGAGCATGGGATGGGGGAGCAATGGGATGGGGGAGCAATGGGATGGGGGGAGCAATGGGATGGGGGAGCAATGGGATGGGGGAGCAATGGGATGGGGGAGCAATGGGATGGGGGAGCAATGGGATGGGGGAGCAATGGGATGGGGGAGCAATGGGATGGGGGAGCAATGGGATGGGGGAGCAATGGGATGGGGGAGCAATGGGATGGGGGAGCAATGGGATGGGGGAGCAATGGGATGGGGGAGCAATGGGATGGGGGGAGCAATGGGATGGGGGAGCAATGGATGGGGGAGCAATGGGATGGGGAGCAATGGGATGGGGGAGCAATGGGATGGGGGAGCAATGGGATGGGGGAGCAATGGGATGGGGGAGCAATGGGATGGGGGAGCATGGGATGGGGGAGCAATGGGATGGGGGAGCAATGGGATGGGGGAGCAATGGGATGGGGGAGCAATGGGATGGGGGAGCAATGGGATGGGGGAGCAATGGGATGGGGGAGGCAATGGGATGGGGGAGCAATGGGATGGGGGAGCAATGGGATGGGGGGAGCAATGGGATGGGGGAGCAATGGGATGGGGGAGCAATGGGATGGGGGAGCAATGGGATGGGGGAGCAGGGATGGGGGCATGGGATGGGGAGCAATGGATGGGGGAGCAATGGGATGGGGGAGCAATGGGATGGGGGAGCAATGGGATGGGGGAGCAATGGGATGGGGGAGCAATGGGATGGGGGAGCAATGGGATGGGGGAGCAATGGGATGGGGGAGCAATGGGATGGGGGAGCAATGGGATGGGGGAATGGGATGGGGGAGCAATGGGATGGGGGAGCAATGGGATGGGGAGCAATGGGATGGGGGGAGCAATGGGATGGGGGAGCAATGGGATGGGGGGAGCAATGGGATGGGGGAGCAATGGGATGGGGGAGCAATGGGATGGGGGAGCAATGGATGGGGGAGCAATGGATGGGGGAGCAATGGGATGGGGGAGCAATGGGATGGGGGAGCAATGGGATGGGGGAGCAATGGGATGGGGGAGCAATGGGATGGGGGAGGCAATGGGATGGGGGAGCAATGGGATGGGGGAGCAATGGGATGGGGGAGCAATGGGATGGGGGAGCATGGGATGGGGGAGCAATGGGATGGGGAGCATGGATGGGGAGCATGGGATGGGGGAGCAATGGGATGGGGGAGCAATGGGATGGGGAGCAATGGGATGGGGGAGCAATGGGATGGGGGAGCATGGGATGGGGGAGCAATGGATGGGGGAGCAATGGGATGGGGGAGCAATGGGATGGGGGAGCAATGGGATGGGGGAGCAATGGGATGGGGGAGCAATGGGATGGGGGAGCAATGGGATGGGGGGAGCAATGGGATGGGGAGCAATGGGATGGGGAGCAATGGGATGGGGGAGCAATGGGATGGGGGAGCAATGGGATGGGGGGGCAATGGGAATGGGGAGCAATGGGATGGGGGAGCAATGGGATGGGGAGCAATGGGATGGGGGAGCAATGGGATGGGGAGCAATGGGATGGGGGAGCAATGGGATGGGGGAGCAAATTGGATGGGGGAGCAATGGGATGGGGGAGCAATGGGATGGGGGAGCAATGGGATGGGGGAGCAATGGATGGGGGAGCAATGGGATGGGGGAGCATGGGATGGGGGAAGCAATGGGATAGGGGAATGGGATGGGGGAGCAATGGGATGGGGGAGCAATGGGATGGGGGAGCAATGGGATGGGGGAGCAATGGGATTGGGGGAGCAATGGATGGGGGAGCAATGGGATGGGGGAGCAATGGGATGGGGGAGCAATGGGATGGGGGAGCAATGGGATGGGGGAGCAATGGGATGGGGGAGCAATGGGATGGGGGAGCAATGGGATGGGGGAGCAATGGGATGGGGGAGCAATGGGATGGGGGAGCAATGGGATGGGGGAGCAATGGGATGGGGAGCAATGGGATGGGGAGGCAATGGGATGGGGGAGCAATGGATGGGGAGCAATGGGATGGGGGAGCAATGGGATGGGGGGAGCAATGGGATGCATGGAATGGGAGCATGGATGGTGGGAGCAATGGATGGGGAGCAAATTGGGATGGTGGGAGCAATGGGATGGGGGAGCAATGGAGAGGGGGAGCAATGGGATGGGGGAGCAATGGGATGGGGGAGCAATGGGTATGGGGGAGCAATGGGATGGGGGGAGCAATGGGATGAGGGGAGCAATGGGAATTGGGGGAGCAATGGGATGGGGGAGCAATGGGATGGGGGAGCAATGGATGGGGGAGCAATGGATGGGGGAGCAATGGGATGGGGGAGCAATGGGATGGGGAGCAATGGGTATGGGGGGAGCAATGGGATGGGGGAGCAATGGGATGGGGGAGCAATGGGATGGGGGAGCAATGGGATGGGGGAGCAATGGGATGGGGGAGCAATGGATGGGGGAGCAATGGGATGGGGGAGCAATGGGATGGGGGAGCAATGGGATGGGGGAGCAATGGGATGGGGGAGCAATGGGATGGGGGAGCGAATGGGATGGGGGAGCAATGGGATGGGAGCAATGGGATGGGGGAGCAATGGGATGGGGGAGCAATGGGATGGGGGAGCAATGGGATGGGGGAGCAATGGGATGGGGGAGCAATGGGATGGGGGAGCAGATGGGGGATGGGGGAGCAATGGGATGGGGGAGCAATGGGATGGGGGAGCAATGGGATGGGGGAGCAATGGGATGGGGGAGCAATGGGATGGGGGAGCATGGGAATGGGGGAGCAAGATGGGGATGGGGGGAGCAGAGGGGATGGGGGAGCAATGGGATGGGGGAGCAATGGGATGGGGGAGCAATGGATGGGGGAGCAATGGGATGGGGGGAGCAAATGGGATGGGGGAGCAATGGGATGGGGGAGCAATGGGATGGGGGAGCAATGGGATGGGGGAGCAATGGGATGGGGGAGCAATGGGATTGGGGGAGCAATGGGATGGGGGAGCAATGGGATGGGGGAGCAAATGGGATTGGGGAGCAATGGATGGGGGAGCAATGGGATGGGGAGCAATGGGATGGGGGAGCATGGGATGGGGGGAGCAATTGGGATGGGGGAGCAATGGGATGGGGGAGCAGGGATGGGGGAGCAATGGATGGGAGCAATGGGATGGGGGAGCAATGGATGGGGGAGCAATGGGATGGGGGAGCAATGGGATGGGGGAGCAATGGGATGGGGGAGCAATGGGATGGGGGAGCAATTGGGATGGGGGAGCAATGGGATGGGGGAGCAATGGGATGGGGGATCAATGGGATGGTGGGAGCAATGGGATGGGGGAGCAATGGGATGGGGGAGCAATGGGATGGTGGGAGCAATGGGGATGGGGGAGCAATGGATGGGGGAGCAATGGATGGGGGAGCATGGATGGGACATGGCTGGGGAGCAATGGGATGGGAGCAATGGGATGGGGGAGCAATGGATGGGGGAGCAATGGGATGGGGGAGCAATGGGATGGGGGAGCAATGGGATGGGGGAGCATGGGATGGGGGAGCAATGGGATGGGGGAGCAATGGATGGGAGCAATGGGATGGGGGAGCAATGGGATGGGGGAGCAATGGGATGGGGGAGCAATGGGATGGGGGAGCAATGGGATGGGGAGCAATGGGATGGGGGAGCAATGGGATGGGGAGAATGGGATGGGGGAGCAATGGGATGGGGGAGCAATGGGATGGGGGAGCAATGGGATGGGGGAGCAATGGGATGGGGGAGCAATGGGATGGGGGAGCAATGGGATGGGGGAGCAATGGGATGGGGGAGCAATGGGATGGGGGAGCAATGGGGATGGGGGAGCAATGGGATGGGGGGAGCAATGGGATGGGGGAGCATGGATGGGGAGCAATGGGATGGGGGAGCAATGGGATGGGGGAGCAATGGGATGGGGGAGCAATGGGATGGGGGAGCAATGGATGGGGGAGCAATGGGAGGGGGGGAGCAATGGATGGGGGAGCAATGGAATGGGGAGGCATGGGATGGGGAGCAATGGGATGGGGGAGCATGGGATGGGGGAGCATGGGATGGGGGAGCAATGGGATGGGGGAGCAATGGGATGGGGGAGCAATGGGATTGGGGGAGCATGGGATGGGGGAGCAATGGGATGGGGGAGCTAATGGGAATGGGTGGGAGCAATGGGATGGGGAGCAATGGGATGGGGGAGCAATGGGATGGGGGAGCAATGGGAGTGGGGGAGCAATGGGATGGGGAGCAATGTGAGGGGGAGCAATGGGATGGGGGAGCAATGGGATGGGGGAGCAATGGGATGGGGGGAGCAATGGGATGGGGGAGCAATGGGATGGGGGAGCAATGGATGGGGGAGCAATGGATGGGGAGAATGGATGGGGAGCAATGGGATGGGGGAGCAATGGGATGGGGGAGCAATGGGATGGGGGAGCAATGGGATGGGGGAGCAATGGGATGGGGGGAGCAATGGGATGGGGGAGCAATGGGATGGGGGAGCAATGGATGGGGGAGCAATGGGATGGGGGAGCAATGGGATGGGGGAGCAATGGGATGGGGGGAGCAATGGGATGGGGGAGCAATGGGATGGGGGAGCAATGGGATGGGGGAGCAATGGGATGGGGGAGCAATGGGATGGGGGAGCAATGGGATGGGGGAGCAATGGGATGGGGGAGCAATGGGATGGGGGGAGCAATGGGATGGGGGAGCAATGGGATGGGGGAGCAATGGGATGGGGGGAGCAATGGGTGGGGAGCATGGGATGGGAGCAATGGGATGGGGGAGCAATGGGATGGGGGAGCAATGGGATGGGGGAGCAATGGGATGGGGAGCAATGGATGGGGGAGCATGGATGGGGGAGCAATGGGATGGGGGAGCAATGGGATGGGGGAGCAATGGGATGGGGAGCAATGGGATGGGGAGCAATGGGATGGGGGAGCAATGGGTTGGGGAGCAATGGGATGGGGGAGCAATGGGATGGGGGAGCAATGGGATGGGGGAGCAATGGATGGGGGAGCAATGGGATGGGGGAGCATGATGGGATTGGGGAGCAATGGGATGGGGGAGCAATGGGATGGGGGAGCAATGGATTGGGGAGCAATGGGATGGGGGAGCAATGGGAGGGGGAGGCATGGGATAGGGGGAGCATGGGATGGGGAGCAATGGGATGGGGGAGCAATGGGATGGGGGAAGAGCATGGATGGGGGGCAATGGGATGGGGGGAGCATGGGATGGGGAGCAATGGGAGTGGGGGAGCAATGGGATGGGGGAGCAATGGATGGGGGGAGCAATGGGATGGGGGAGCAATGGGATGGGGGAGCAATGGATGGGGGAGCATGGGATGGGGGAGCAATGGGGATGGGGGCAATGGATGGGGGAGCAATGGGATGGGGGAGCAATGGGATGGGGGAGCAATGGGATGGGGGAGCAATGGGATGGGGGAGCAATGGGGATGGGGGAGCAATGGGATGGGGGAGCAATGGGATGGGGGAGCAATGGGATGGGGGAGCAATGGGATGGGGGGCAATGGGATGGGGGAGCAATGGGATGGGGGAGCAATGGGATGGGGGAGCAATGGGATGGGGGAGCAATGGGATGGGGAGCAATGGGATGGGGGAGCAATGGGATGGGGGAGCAATGGGATGGGGGAGCAATGGGATGGGGGAGCAATGGGATGGGGGAGCAATGGGATGGGGAGCAATGGGATGGGGGAGCAATGGGATGGGGGAGCAATGGGATGGGGGAGCAATGGGATGGGGGAGCAATGGGATGGGGGAGCAATGGGATGGGGGAGCAATGGGATGGGGGAGCAATGGGATGGGGGAGCAATGGGATGGGGGAGCAATGGGATGGGGGAGCAATGGGATGGGGGAGCAATGGGATGGGGGAGCAATGGGATGGGGGAGCAATGGGATGGGGAGCAATGGGATGGGGGAGCAATGGGATGGGGGAGCAATGGGATGGGGGAGCAATGGGATGGGGGAGCAATGGGATGGGGGAGCAATGGGATGGGGGAGCAATGGGATGGGGGAGCAATGGGATGGGGGAGCAATGGGATGGGGGGAGCAATGGGATGGGGGAGCAATGGGATGGGGGAGCAATGGATGGGGGAGCAATGGGATGGGGGAGCAATGGGATGGGGGGAGCAATGGGATGGGGGAGCAATGGGATGGGGGAGCAATGGGATGGGGGAGCAATGGGATGGGGGAGCAATGGGATGGGGAGCAATGGGATGGGGGAGCAATGGGATGGGGGAGCAATGGGATGGGGGAGCAATGGGATGGGGGAGCAATGGGATGGGGAGCAATGGGATGGGGGAGCAATGGGATGGGGGAGCAATGGGATGGGGGAGCAATGGGATGGGGAGCAATGGGATGGGGGGAGCAATGGATGGGGGAGCAATGGATGGGGGAGCAATGATGGGGGAGCATGGGATGGGAGCAATGGGATGGGGGAGCAATGGGATGGGGGAGCAATGGGATGGGGGAGCAATGGAGGGGGAGCAATGGATGGGGGAGCAATGGGATGGGGGAGCAATGGGATGGGGGAGCAATGGAGGGGGAGCAATGGATGGGGGAGCAATGGGATGGGGGAGCAATGGGATGGGGGGAGCAATGGGATGGGGAGCAATGGATGGGGGAGCAATGGGATGGGGGAGAGCAATGGATGGGGGAGCAATGGGATGGGGGAGCAATGGGATGGGGGAGCAATGGGATGGGGGAGCAATGGGATGGGGAGCAATGGGATGGGGAAGCAATGGGATGGGGGAGCAATGGGATGGGGGAGCAATGGGATGGGGAGCAATGGGATGGGGGAGCAATGGGATGGGGGAGAGCAATGGGATGGGGGAGCAATGGGATGGGGGAGCAATGGGATGGGGGGAGCAAATGGGATGGGGGAGCAATGGGATGGGGGGAGCAATGGGATGGGGGAGCAATGGGATGGGGGAGCAATGGGATGGGGGAGCAATGGGATGGGGGAGCAATGGATGGGGGAAGCAATGGGATGGGGGAGCAATGGGATGGGGGAGCAATGGGATGGGGGAGCAATGGGATGGGGGGAGCAATGGATGGGGGAGCAATGGGATGGGGAGCAATGGATGGGGGAGCAATGGGATGGGGGAGCAATGGATGGGGGAGCAATGGGATGGGGGAGCAATGGGATGGGGGAGCAATGGGATGGGGGAGCAATGGGATGGGGGAGCAATGGGATGGGGGAGCAATGGGATGGGGGAGCAATGGGATGGGGGAGCAATGGGATGGGGGAGCAATGGGATGGGGGAGCAATGGGATGGGGGAGCAATGGGATGGGGGAGCAATGGGATGGGGGAGCAATGGGATGGGGGAGCAATGGGATGGGGGAGCAATGGGATGGGAGAGCAATGGGATGGGAGAGCAATGGGAACATTGTTGAAATGCATCTGGTGATGCAAGTAACGCTGCTGACATGCACTCGGTTATGCAGGTAATGCAATGTCAGAAGTTTTAATGTAATTTCTGGTTTTGTGGCAGCCTGTGTCCCTTGTCTCCTCCCCATCTCTCTCCTTCCTCTCGTTTCCCCATGCGACTCGTCCCTTGCGCTGCCCACCTCCTTTGTGGCCCGCCCATGCGTGTCCCCCTTCCGCCCTCTTTCCTGCCAGCTGATCAAGAAGCTCAAGAACCACCGCCACCCCAAGCAGGCTGCAGAGGTGCGGGTGGGTGGGTGCGGGTGGGTGGGTGCGGGTGGGTGGGTGCGGGTGGGTGAGTGCGGGTGGGGGGGTTCCGACTTATGAGGCGCCTCAATAGCCGCCGCCCCAAGCAGGCTGCAGAGGTGCGCGTGCTTTTGGGGGAAGGGGGGGGAGGGGAGGGGAGGGGGTGTTGTCGCAGGGTTTCAAGGTTTGGCTTTTGAGGCGCCTCAAAAGCGGCTGCCCCAATTAGGCTTCAGAGGTGCGTGCGAGTGGTGGGGACGGGTGGGGGTGTTGTTGCAGGGTCCAGGTTCATGATTCAGGGTTCTGAAATTTGAGGCGCCTCAAAAGAGGCTGCCCCAATTAGGCTTCAGCGCGTGGTGGGGATGGTTGGGGTGTTGTTGCAAGGTCAGGGTTCAGGGTTCTGACTTTCGAGGAGCCTCAAAAGGCTTCAACCCAAACAGGCAGCACAGTGAGTGAGGTGTGGGTGGAAGGGGGTGTTGTTGCAGGGTCAGGGTTTAGATTTCTGTGTTGGTCAGTAAGGGTGTTGCAGTGGCAGGGTTTAGTGTTCTGTATTGGTAAGGGAGTTGCAGGGTCAGGGTTTTGTGTGGTTAGGGGTGTTGCAGTGTCAGGGTTTGGGGTTCTGTGTGGGTAACGGTGTTGCAGGGTCACGGTTAGGGTTCTGTATGGGTAGGGGTGTTGCAGTTTCATTCAGGGTTTAAGGTTCTCTATAGGTAGGGATTTTGCTGCTTTCTGGTTTACGTGGTTGTGGTTTTGCGCGTCTTGGCATCACATGCATAGCGGTTTGCAGGTTTGGGGTTATAAGCGTGCGTTGAGGGTTTGCAGGCTCAGGGTTTCGGGTTTCCTGCTGGTGCTACTGCTTTTGAAATCCCTCTTTTTCCCTGCTCCCCGGGGTCCTTTCTCCCCTCCCCTCCCCTCCCCTCCCCTCCTCTCCCCTCCCTTCAATCACCGCAGGTAGCAGCGTGGTTCATGCATTGGCCGGGATCTAGAGGGTGGGCTACGAGTTGCTGTGCTCTCTGCTGCCACCCTCATTGCGTCACACACTCCCTTCCCCCCCCTCCCCCTCGGACCTCTTCTGATTGATCGTCTCCCCCTTCGCAACCCCCTTCCAATCGCTGCAGGTAACAGAGGGGCTCGTGCAGCAGCCGGCCTTCCCCCGACTAAAAAACACACTATCAGCTCGCTCTTTCTGCTCTCAACCTGGGATATCCTGATTTACCCCGCCCCATCCTCCCTCGCCCTCCTACCCCCTCCGCTGTCTCTCTATGATATTTGCAGGTAGCAGAGTGGTTGGTGCAGCAGCCCGGCTTCCCCAAGCTAGAGGCGGACTACCACCTCGCGCTCTCTGCTTTGAAGGCCTGTATATTCCTGATCTACCCCACCGCATCCCCTTTTTTCCCCTTCCCCCCCTCTCTTTCCAATAACTGCAGGTAGCAGAGCGGTTGGTGCAGAGTGGTTGGTGCAGCAGCCCGGCTTCCCCAAGCTAGAGGCGGACTACCGCCTCGCGCTCTCTGCTTTGAAGGCCTGTATATTCCTGATCTACCCCACCGCATCCCCTTTTTTCCCCTTCCCCCCCTCTCTTTCCAATAACTGCAGGTAGCAGAGTGGTTTGTGCAGCACCCCGGCTTCCCCAAGCTAGAGGCCGACTACCAGCTCGCGCTCTCTGCCGTCATTCGTGCGCGCAACGTGGCGGCTGCGCAGGCACTCTTCCTTTCCTTCCCACAGCCTTTCAGAACCGAGAAGGTGAGCTGGGGATAGAGGAGACGAGTTGGGGGGGGAGGAGGTGTGCGTGCGAGACATGGGGCACGAGGCATGCGAGCAAATGTGCGGCTGCACAGGCACTCTTCCTCGCCTTCCCACCGCCGTTCAGAACGGAGGAGGTGGGAAGAATGCTGCCGCGCCGCCTTTCGCTGTAATCTGCTCTGCAGGTGTACCAGCCAGTGTTTGTTTCGCTTTTGAGAATCCGCGAAAGTTACACAACCTTCCCCTGCCCCACTGCCTTTTCCCGTATTCTGCAGGTGTATCAGCCGGGGTATGCCATGGCCTTCGTGTATTGCATCATGCCTGCCTGCTGTGGTTCATCCGTCCCGTCTCTGAGAGCTTTCAGGCAGTGATACAAGCATAACATCTCCCCCCCTCTCTCTTCCCCCCCCCCTCTGTCCCCATGCTTTGCAGGTATACCAGCCAGTGTTTGGGCACACGTTCCCATGCTTGTGAGGCATGTTTGGGCACACGTTCCTATGCTTGTGAGGCATTCCCAAAGCTTAGCATCCACCCCCCCACCTCCGCCCTTCACTTTCCCCACGGTTTGCAGGTGTACCAGCCGGTGTTTGGGCATGTGGCAAGGCGGGGGAGGTTCATGTCAGTGGAGTCGCAGGTAAGGTTCCATCTTCCGGGATAATGCACACCCCACCGGAGATAGTGCCTGGCGCAGGAATTTTTTAGTCGACTAAAAAGTCACCAAGGCGGGGGAGGTTCATGTCAATAGAGACGCAGGTGAGATCTCATCAGCGTGCCTCCCCCACGTATGGAGACGCTGGTGAGATCGTATCTTCCTGGATAATGCCTGCAGTGCAGCTTGCCCCAAATATGGCACGCCCCTCCACACCTAGTGCCTGCCGCATGTATCTTTGAGTCGACTAAAAAATCACCAAGGCGGGAAAGGTTCATGTTAGTTGAGTCACAGGTAAAGTTTCATCTTCCCAGATAACGCCTGTCCCAAGTATGGCTCGCCCCAGGTAGTGCCTGCCCCGAATTTTGCCTGCTGGCTCAGGAAGTGGGTACTGTCAATTCAAGGCATGGGCATTGTCCGTGTGTGTAGTGCTTCTTTTACCTCTCATTCCTTCCTTCCACTACCATAAGGGTTCTAGGCCTCCTTTTCAAGCAGTGTTTTTACTCCCTCATCTGTCTTCCAGCTCTTGCCTGTTTTCTCCTCTCCCATCTTTGCGTCTCCTCACCCGTCCCTCCCCTCTTAGCTCCGTCCCCCTTCTCCTTCTCCACTGGACTGGCTGAGGCAGCAGGGCGTGCCTGAGCCCATCTGCTCAGTCAACCCCTTTATCGCCTTTTTACCCGTCCCACTTCCTTTGAGCTTGCCTTCTCTCCTGCTCTCCTCCACCCCTGCTCGCGGCCGCTCCCACTTCTTTTCGTCCAACTGGACTGGCTGCAGCAGCAGCGCATGTTAAGAACACCCCCTTCTTCAAACCCCAGCTTTCTCTCTCTTCTCATCTTCCCGCACCCATCCGTCTCTTTGCTCCCTTGGGTGGACTGGCTCCAGCAGCAGCGCGTATCTGAGATGAGAACATCCTGGCGTTCAACCCATAAATTACCTTTTTCTCCCCTTCACCCAACCTCTATGCGTGCTCTCCTTCTCCCCAAGCTCTCCTCTCCTTCTCCCCAAGCTCTCCTCTCCTTCTCCCCAAGCTCTCCTCTCCTTCTCCCCAAGCTCTCCTCTCCTTCTCCCCAAGCTCTCCTCTCCTTCTCCCCAAGCTCTCCTCTCCTTCTCCCCAAGCTCTCCTCTCCTTCTCCCCAAGCTCTCCTCTCCTTCTCCCCAAGCTCTCCTCTCCTTCTCCCCAAGCTCTCCTCTCCTTCTCCCAAGCTCTCCTCTCCTTCTCCCCAAGCTCTCCTCTCCTTCTCCCCAAGCTCTCCTCTCCTTCTCCCCAAGCTCTCCTCTCCTTCTCCCCAAGCTCTCCTCTCCTTCTCCCCAAGCTCTCCTCTCCTTCTCCCCAAGCTCTCCTCTCCTTCTCCCCAAGCTCTCCTCTCCTTCTCCCCAAGCTCTCCTCTCCTTCTCCCCAAGCTCTCCTCTCCTTCTCCCCAAGCTCTCCTCTCCTTCTCCCCAAGCTCTCCTCTCCTTCTCCCCAAGCTCTCCTCTCCTTCTCCCCAAGCTCTCCTCTCCTTCTCCCCAAGCTCTCCTCTCCTTCTCCCCAAGCTCTCCTCTCCTTCTCCCCAAGCTCTCCTCTCCTTCTCCCCAAGCTCTCCTCTCCTTCTCCCCAAGCTCTCCTCTCCTTCTCCCCAAGCTCTCCTCTCCTTCTCCCCAAGCTCTCCTCTCCTTCTCCCCAAGCTCTCCTCTCCTTCTCCCCAAGCTCTCCTCTCCTTCTCCCCAAGCTCTCCTCTCCTTCTCCCCAAGCTCTCCTCTCCTTCTCCCCAAGCTCTCCTCTCCTTCTCCCCAAGCTCTCCTCTCCTTCTCCCCAAGCTCTCCTCTCCTTCTCCCCAAGCTCTCCTCTCCTTCTCCCCAAGCTCTCCTCTCCTTCTCCCCAAGCTCTCCTCTCCTTCTCCCCAAGCTCTCCTCTCCTTCTCCCCAAGCTCTCCTCTCCTTCTCCCCAAGCTCTCCTCTCCTTCTCCCAAGCTCTCCTCTCCTTCTCCCCAAGCTCTCCTCTCCTTCTCCCCAAGCTCTCCTCTCCTTCTCCCCAAGCTCTCCTCTCCTTCTCCCCAAGCTCTCCTCTCCTTCTCCCCAAGCTCTCCTCTCCTTCTCCCCAAGCTCTCCTCTCCTTCTCCCCAAGCTCTCCTCTCCTTCTCCCCAAGCTCTCCTCTCCTTCTCCCCAAGCTCTCCTCTCCTTCTCCCCAAGCTCTCCTCTCCTTCTCCCAAGCTCTCCTCTCCTTCTCCCCAAGCTCTCCTCTCCTTCTCCCCAAGCTCTCCTCTCCTTCTCCCCAAGCTCTCCTCTCCTTCTCCCCAAGCTCTCCTCTCCTTCTCCCCAAGCTCTCCTCTCCTTCTCCCCAAGCTCTCCTCTCCTTCTCCCCAAGCTCTCCTCTCCTTCTCCCCAAGCTCTCCTCTCCTTCTCCCCAAGCTCTCCTCTCCTTCTCCCCAAGCTCTCCTCTCCTTCTCCCCAAGCTCTCCTCTCCTTCTCCCCAAGCTCTCCTCTCCTTCTCCCCAAGCTCTCCTCTCCTTCTCCCCAAGCTCTCCTCTCCTTCTCCCCAAGCTCTCCTCTCCTTCTCCCCAAGCTCTCCTCTCCTTCTCCCCAAGCTCTCCTCTCCTTCTCCCCAAGCTCTCCTCTCCTTCTCCCCAAGCTCTCCTCTCCTTCTCCCCAAGCTCTCCTCTCCTTCTCCCCAAGCTCTCCTCTCCTTCTCCCCAAGCTCTCCTCTCCTTCTCCCCAAGCTCTCCTCTCCTTCTCCCCAAGCTCTCCTCTCCTTCTCCCCAAGCTCTCCTCTCCTTCTCCCCAAGCTCTCCTCTCCTTCTCCCCAAGCTCTCCTCTCCTTCTCCCCAAGCTCTCCTCTCCTTCTCCCCAAGCTCTCCTCTCCTTCTCCCCAAGCTCTCCTCTCCTTCTCCCCAAGCTCTCCTCTCCTTCTCCCCAAGCTCTCCTCTCCTTCTCCCCAAGCTCTCCTCTCCTTCTCCCCAAGCTCTCCTCTCCTTCTCCCCAAGCTCTCCTCTCCTTCTCCCCAAGCTCTCCTCTCCTTCTCCCCAAGCTCTCCTCTCCTTCTCCCCAAGCTCTCCTCTCCTTCTCCCCAAGCTCTCCTCTCCTTCTCCCCAAGCTCTCCTCTCCTTCTCCCCAAGCTCTCCTCTCCTTCTCCCCAAGCTCTCCTCTCCTTCTCCCCAAGCTCTCCTCTCCTTCTCCCCAAGCTCTCCTCTCCTTCTCCCCAAGCTCTCCTCTCCTTCTCCCCAAGCTCTCCTCTCCTTCTCCCCAAGCTCTCCTCTCCTTCTCCCCAAGCTCTCCTCTCCTTCTCCCCAAGCTCTCCTCTCCTTCTCCCCAAGCTCTCCTCTCCTTCTCCCCAAGCTCTCCTCTCCTTCTCCCCAAGCTCTCCTCTCCTTCTCCCCAAGCTCTCCTCTCCTTCTCCCCAAGCTCTCCTCTCCTTCTCCCCAAGCTCTCCTCTCCTTCTCCCCAAGCTCTCCTCTCCTTCTCCCCAAGCTCTCCTCTCCTTCTCCCCAAGCTCTCCTCTCCTTCTCCCCAAGCTCTCCTCTCCTTCTCCCCAAGCTCTCCTCTCCTTCTCCCCAAGCTCTCCTCTCCTTCTCCCCAAGCTCTCCTCTCCTTCTCCCCAAGCTCTCCTCTCCTTCTCCCCAAGCTCTCCTCTCCTTCTCCCCAAGCTCTCCTCTCCTTCTCCCCAAGCTCTCCTCTCCTTCTCCCCAAGCTCTCCTCTCCTTCTCCCCAAGCTCTCCTCTCCTTCTCCCCAAGCTCTCCTCTCCTTCTCCCCAAGCTCTCCTCTCCTTCTCCCCAAGCTCTCCTCTCCTTCTCCCCAAGCTCTCCTCTCCTTCTCCCCAAGCTCTCCTCTCCTTCTCCCCAAGCTCTCCTCTCCTTCTCCCCAAGCTCTCCTCTCCTTCTCCCCAAGCTCTCCTCTCCTTCTCCCCAAGCTCTCCTCTCCTTCTCCCCAAGCTCTCCTCTCCTTCTCCCCAAGCTCTCCTCTCCTTCTCCCCAAGCTCTCCTCTCCTTCTCCCCAAGCTCTCCTCTCCTTCTCCCCAAGCTCTCCTCTCCTTCTCCCCAAGCTCTCCTCTCCTTCTCCCCAAGCTCTCCTCTCCTTCTCCCCAAGCTCTCCTCTCCTTCTCCCCAAGCTCTCCTCTCCTTCTCCCCAAGCTCTCCTCTCCTTCTCCCCAAGCTCTCCTCTCCTTCTCCCCAAGCTCTCCTCTCCTTCTCCCCAAGCTCTCCTCTCCTTCTCCCCAAGCTCTCCTCTCCTTCTCCCCAAGCTCTCCTCTCCTTCTCCCCAAGCTCTCCTCTCCTTCTCCCCAAGCTCTCCTCTCCTTCTCCCCAAGCTCTCCTCTCCTTCTCCCCAAGCTCTCCTCTCCTTCTCCCCAAGCTCTCCTCTCCTTCTCCCCAAGCTCTCCTCTCCTTCTCCCCAAGCTCTCCTCTCCTTCTCCCCAAGCTCTCCTCTCCTTCTCCCCAAGCTCTCCTCTCCTTCTCCCCAAGCTCTCCTCTCCTTCTCCCCAAGCTCTCCTCTCCTTCTCCCCAAGCTCTCCTCTCCTTCTCCCCAAGCTCTCCTCTCCTTCTCCCCAAGCTCTCCTCTCCTTCTCCCCAAGCTCTCCTCTCCTTCTCCCCAAGCTCTCCTCTCCTTCTCCCCAAGCTCTCCTCTCCTTCTCCCCAAGCTCTCCTCTCCTTCTCCCCAAGCTCTCCTCTCCTTCTCCCCAAGCTCTCCTCTCCTTCTCCCCAAGCTCTCCTCTCCTTCTCCCCAAGCTCTCCTCTCCTTCTCCCCAAGCTCTCCTCTCCTTCTCCCCAAGCTCTCCTCTCCTTCTCCCCAAGCTCTCCTCTCCTTCTCCCCAAGCTCTCCTCTCCTTCTCCCCAAGCTCTCCTCTCCTTCTCCCCAAGCTCTCCTCTCCTTCTCCCCAAGCTCTCCTCTCCTTCTCCCCAAGCTCTCCTCTCCTTCTCCCAAGCTCTCCTCTCCTTCTCCCCAAGCTCTCCTCTCCTTCTCCCCAAGCTCTCCTCTCCTTCTCCCCAAGCTCTCCTCTCCTTCTCCCCAAGC